TCAAGCCCCCCCTTTTTTTCGGAATCCCTGCAAAACCCTTAATTAACGAACCCTTCGAGGGGGGACTCTTTAAAGGAGCCCCTTCCTGATTGCGAAGGCCCTTTTTCTTTAACCCCGAGCTCCCTAAACCCTAAACCGCGAGCGCACGGCTTAGGGTTTTTTTTTTTGGGGGGGGGGGCTCCTTTTTCCAACTGATGGAGCCCAAAGGAGCTCGGTTTAGGGTTTAGAATTTAGGGTGCAGGGTGCCCAGCCGACCTCGCGCAAGCGCGTCTCAAGGTTCATGATAGCCTTCCTGAGCGATGACACGTCTACCCAGAGGCTCTAAGACCCCTCAAAGACGTATACGTTAACTCATACTAAGGATGATTGTAGAGTTTAAGAAATACCCCTGTTCAAAGAGTTATGGAGTCTGTGAGCAGAGTTTGGGGTTTAAAGCTGTAGAGCGTAGTGAGTTAAAACGATTTGGGGCTCGTTCTGCAAGGGGTTGTCAGCGGCTTCCGTGATTTTCTAGAACTCTGTAATATAGGGGCCTTAATAATTAGAACAAGGTTTCGGGTTCCTTTATAGCCTAGTTATAATAAGGAACCCTAACAATAATGTTGGCAATTATTTAAGCTTCTGTATTAGCGCCTTCTCCGAGAGGATTCTAGGTCTCAAAAGCCAGAACCGTAAATACTATGGAATAAGCTACAAGGGAACCGTCCTAAACCATCCTGAATCTAAGCCATCCTAAACCGAATCGTGTAAGGAGAAGCCTAGAACCCAATAGAAATATCTACGAAACCCTTGTCATGGGCGGCGCAGTGGGCGCTGTCAGGCCTAGCGAGCCTTCAACAGAAGGAAACAAGGACCAGCAACTGCGACATGTTATATGCCTTTATGTGGTGCAAAAAGTGTTGTTTACGGTTTGTGTTAGTAGAGGATTTTTGCTGCAAACTTAGGACGAAACTGCTAGAAGGGATGGGGTTCAGATATGGAGTACAGCGTTGAGGGTTTGGACCACCCGGATTCAACACACATGACCAGGTGCTGAAGTGGCTGATTTCGGTCATGTTGGGGGATGAGAAGGACGTGCCCCACGACACTGGAGGTCGCACGGGAGCTGGTGTTGACAGCACGAGAAACAGGTGATGGTGGCAAAACCTTCAAACCCACACCCTCCACCCTGAGCCCGAAAATCCCGAAAACTCTGACCCTAAATCCTCAGCCCTAAACTCTTTATGCCAGGGAGCTCCAGTTTAACCGCAGACAGACCTCCAGCAGCCATTCTTGAAGCTCACACCTGAAGATTTCGGATCTCGAGTTTAGGGCTTCGGGTTCCGGGTTAGGGCTTAGGGTTTAGGGTTTAGGGCTTACTGCTTAGGGTTTCGGGTTTGGCGTTTAGGGTTTGGGGCTTAAGGTCTTGAACGGCTAACGTCAAGGGCTTTTGTTCGGAAACTTCGATCTTGAACTACAGGTTGCCCCTAAACCCTAAACCCTAAACCCTAAACCCTGAACCCTGAACCCTAAACCCTGAACCCTAAACCCTAAACCCCAAACCCTAAACCCTAAACCCTAAACCCTAAACCCTAAGCCCTAAGCCCTAAACCCTAAACCCTAAACCCTAAGCCCTAAGCCCTAAACCCTAAACCCTAAACCCTAAACCCTTGCTTTTCAGGCTCGGAAAAAGAAGTTCAGGCTTCGAGGCTTTGGGGTTACAAAGTAAGGCTTGGAGCTCATGAACCCCTACTACACCCCCCATCGGCTAAAACCTTTCGGCCTCCTATGAGAGGGTTTAGGGTTTAGGGCTTAGGGCTTAGGGCTTAGGGCTTAGGGCTTAGGGTTTAGGGTTTAGGGTTTAGGGTTTAGGGTAATGGTTTTGTTTGGTGCTAGGTCTGGCAATGGGGTCTTATGGATAACGGACAACAGAAGCTGCACTACCTACCTGAAGTATGATGAGCGTTGCTACGGACGGGCAGGATTTCGTCCACCTGCGAAGGTAAACTTCTATCGACATAAGTCTGGGTTTGGGCGCCCCGCTTTGGAAATACCTCACACAACTCGTTAATTACGCGTTTAGGAGTCTGCGGCACCCTCGATAACCCATCTATGCAGACGTCCAGAATGTTAAAAGTCCTGCCAGTGGCTAAACCGTTTGAAAGTGTACTAGGAGGGGCTTTTAAAGCCTTTGAAAAATATTAGTAGGTAAGATCCTCTTAAGCCCAATAAGAGAAAATATAGAATGTCTCAAGGCTCTACATAGTGTAGGGGCATGTCGGACAGCTTCAGTTGGATTTTCAGCTCCAAGGGTTCAGGGTGCCATTTAGACGAAGGGCTTCTCTTTGAGACATGGGAGTTTCCGAAAATAGGGGACCCTAATATAGCACCCTAAATAGTAGGATCCTTATTTTAGGGACCCCGAAACAAGGTACCCTAGTTCTCGGAAACTCCCACATCGCTCAACGCATAAGCACAACTGGATTCTATCCTGCTTCGGTGCAGTGAGATGCTGTTTGGGGTTTAGGGTTCAGGGTTTAGGGATCTACTTCCTTCATGGGTTCTGTCGTCGTCAGACCGTAAAACTCAGGCACTGGTCGACCTTAAAGCATAAACCCTCAACCCTAAACCCCCAAGCCTAAACCCTGAAACCTAAACCTCTCGCTTCATGGCACTGTGCAGGGTAATCGTGAAAGGCTTCAGGTTTCGAGTTCGTGGGCCCTAAGCCTCAGCTCTAAAACTTGCATCGTAAACCCTAACCCCGAGGCACTAAGTCTAGACCCAAGAGTAACCTAGGAATAAAAAAGGGTGCCCTTTTTGGTTTAAAGGGGCTTCTAAGGGAACCTGAACCTTATAAAAAGGGAAATAGGGCCTACTCTAGGTCCTAGAAGTCAGCAAGCCTCAACCCGTAAACCGAATTCATGCGCGGAATACAGGCAAAGACTGGCAGTGCAAGAACCAGGAAATAGCGACGTAGGAGCTTTCATTATGATTCTCAGATGAGGGTCTGCGGGTATAATACACCATGTCATATACTGACTAGGTTTAGAACTTTCGTCTCAACTGTGAGGGGATGCTTTTTCCGATTATGCCGACCTCCTAAAGGTCGCGCTAACCCTCAACCCTCAAGCCCACAGCCTTGACTGAGCTCCCCGCAAGCTTTGCTGGCTGGGATGAATCAGGTTCCAACCCCTTGAGGGTGAAAAGCAAGAAAAATACTCAAAAAACCAGGATGAGGCACCTAAGGTGCTGTGGCTTCTCGTGAGCCCAATCAGCGGCATACATCATGCGGTCAGGGAGTTCTCGTGTAGAGGTCCAGAGAAGCCTGACCCCGACCCCCAAACCCTAAAAACCCTAGTTTGTTTGTGTGTTTTAAGGGCTCTTTTCTAACTGCTTGTAGGATTTAGGGTTTGGGGTTTAGAGTTCCCTCAAGGACCCCAAAAAAACTGGTGCCCGCAAAAGCAGTAGGAGAACCCCCATAAAACCCTGACAATCCTCTCGTGGAGCCTAGGGGCGGTTTGGGTTTAGGGTGCTGGGCTTTGTTTCGGGTTTAGGCATCAGGGTTTGCAGTTTAGGGTTCAGGGTGCTGAAACAATACGATTCCTGGACCACGTCCGCCCCCGAAATTCCTGAAGCCTCAATCCCGAATAAGGGGATCTGCATGGCTAGCTAGAACATCCCTTTTCGCGTCTCCTCTGTATTGAGGCCCTACTCCGGATCTTCTCCGCGACTGAAACCCTAAACCCTAAACCCCCCTGGGGTGCATAGGATAAGTGACTTTTTCAGCGAAGCGGCTGCCAGGCTCACCCTACCAGAGAGATGACTGCAAATAAGAATAGGGGGATCCTTTAGAGGGTTCCTTGAGGGATATATATATATATATATATATATATATATATATATATCCTCAACCCAGATAAGACAGGGGCCTTCATAAACTTTCGCTTTATCCATACTAATATGCACCCCTCTTCAACAAGACCACATTCTAATTATTGAGGCCCTGCATAAATGCCTGACACAAGGCCTGTTACAGAATACACACATACATACATACATACATACATACATACATACATACATACATACATACATACACACATACGTTATACCTACACATATACATACGTACATACATACATACATACATATTATACAGCGACAGCGCCGCTTAAGCAACAGTTCTTTTCCCTGTGGGGGCCCTCGATTTCTTAATTTTGAGGGCCGTGTTTTGCTTATCGAAATGAGGCTACCCTGGATTTCTTCACTTAAATCACTTAAACCCTTCACATACTTTGAAAGGGCTCCAAAATTAACCAATGGGATCGAGTAGTCGGGGCATCTTTCCAGCGACTCCCTCTTGACCGAAGAAAACTCGAGAAGAGCAAAGTGAGAACTTGGCACACCGACTGCTGATGGACAAAATCCTGCATGACCTTCAGGACCCTAAACTATGGGAACTATGGTATATTCCTTATAACGGGTAATGCAGGATTTTGTCCATCAACAGGAGGTCAGGGTATCCTGGATGTATTATTGTCAACTTTGCACATTTTTGTTGTCGCATGGATGGACGAGGGGCTCAACTTCTTAAGCCATTGATTTCTTAAGCAGTGCTGTCGCTGTACCCCGATTAAGTAGCCCTCTAAAGGATCCCTTACATGGGTGCTTTGGGCTTGGTCCCTAAGGAAGTGGCTTGAGGATGTACGGGTCTGGGGGGATTGCGGGCTTACTTAGAGGATCGTGGGACGTAGTAACTGGAGGCATAAATGCGGTAGCTGTAACTATAAATACTTCTAGCTCCCTTTAAGGTAAGCATAGCCTTACACTTACTAAGCCCCATGATGCTAAACCCTGAACCCTGAATCCTAAACCCTAAACCCCTAAAACTCTATCCTAATCTCCTGAATCCTGAACCTTCGGCCGACCCTTTTGAGGATTACTATGGGCCTTCACGATTAGGGTTTAGGGTTTAGGGTTTAGGAATAGGGATCCGGGTACAGCATACCTTGACTGTGCGAAGGTCACAGCTCCGCACGAGGTCTCGTAAGGTCGCTCACTCTCCTCGCCGACTCCTTGGCATACTTGACATCCTGCATGCAACGAACCCCTGCGTTTTGGGTAAGGAGCTCGGGTTCCGGGGTTTAGGGCACGGGTTTGGGTGGCAGGGCGTAGTGTTCTGGTGTTCAGAAACCCTAAAGCACCTTCGGGGAGGATTTAGACTATAACAGGCACTATGTCACCGTGACACTTTCAACCTTCGATGCGTCTGAGTGGGCCCACAAGAAGCAGCGGAGCCGACTATGCCGCTAACGCAGACCCTGATCCAGCTTACAGAGCAACACCAAATATTCGCCCCAGCCGCCCCAGTACAAAACCCTTCTTGAGGGAAGGACGGTGGAACGTCGGCCCCTGCAGTAAAGCCAGCATTAGTGCAAGTTATGAGCAACCGTAAACTCTAACACCCTAAACCAGAGTCCTAAACCCCTTGTAACCCCGCGACCAATGATTGAAGTATGGCAACCCTCTTCAGAAGTTTCGGGTTTAGGATTTAGGAACGGCTTGGAAGGCCCCTTTTTCATCCTCACTCAAAGGATCAGGGGACTTCAAAAGCGCCAGCAGAGAAACAAATACCCTTACCCAGACCCCCGGCAGGATCTAGAAAGTAGATCCCCTAATCTGGAGCCCTTTACTACTAAGGGTACTTTATAGGAGCCCCCATTAAGAGATCTACTGTTTGATCCTCCGAAAGGGGTCGGCGTACCCTTAATCGGGCGATCTTCGTTTTGTGCCGCAGTTCAAAGTCCCATGAACCCAAAAGCCCCTACAACCCTACTCATGAACACTCTAAACTCCAAACCTTAACCCCTAAACCTTAACCCCTAAACCTTAACCCCTAAACCTTAAGCCCTAAACCTTAAACCCTAAATCTTAAACACTAAACCTCTAAACCCTAAACCTTAACCCCTAAACCCTAAACCTCAAACCCTAAACCTTAAACCCTATATTCGCTGCCCCGACTCGGCGCAAGGGAGGCGCCTTGGAGTGGACCATGAACATACCTGAAACTTGTTCACAAAGCCTACAGAAACCACCCACTATAGGGGCCTCGGATACTATAGGGGTACTATCATGTAAGACATAATTACCCATACTAGTTTTGGGTGGTTCCAAATTGTAATTATACTCTAATTAAAGGCCCCTATATTACCCCACGGACCAGTAGGAATGCGGCATACTTAGTAGGAAGATCGTAACCAAAAAAGAACCTACCTCCGGCTGGTTGCGGAACCCTAGACCCGAAAAACCTGGGGTTCAGGGTTTAGGGTTTAGGCTTTAGTATAGGGGGCTCGGTTGAGAACAGATCTGCTGAACAACTGCCCCGTCAAAGCTGTGAGCATTTTAGGACAAGCCAGACTCACGGGTTGGGTTTCGGTGAAGTTTTGCGGGCTAGGAGGGTGTCAGGTTTACTTAGAAGGTCATGGGGCTTAGTGGTTAGGGTTATAAACACGGTAACAAGGCTATAACTTATAAAACTGCTTATAACTCCGATTAAAGTACTTCTAACCTGACTTAGTAAGTCGCAATATCCTCCAAGTAGAGCTTGCTTGAAAAGCAGGGTAAGCAAGATAGGCTATAGGGATGCCTTCAGAAAGGGCTTAGCGGTATGCTTTGGGATGCCCTTCGAGGGGTCTCCGGCTAAGGCTTCAGGATGTTAGCGCTTCAGGGAGTTTGTCGGTCAGGGCCTTTGGCTTTCCTTCTATCTTAGCACTGCTGCCGGTTTTAGGGTTTAGGGTTTAGGGGTTTGGGGTTTAGGGTTTAGGGGTTTAGGGGTTTAGGGCCTTTAGGGTTTGAGGTTTAGGGTTTAGGGTGCTTTCGCCGCGGGCTAGAACAGCCCGGCTTCCCTTTCTCAGTTGCAAACGACCTACCGGGGCCTCTTGCACGCGGATGTGAAGGGTATGGTTTGTCATGTAAAGGGTTGTTGAGTGTCGAATACAGAAGTCTTACAGGTTACTGTAAGGCTAGCAGATACGTTATACACATGGTAGAATGAAATCTGGACTTTAAGGGGATACTATTTCCAATTCGTCCGAACATCACATTCAACCTACTTGGAGGATCATAGGACTTAGTGAGGGTATAAGCCTGTTGGCTTCTGGACCTAATGTACGTAGAACAAACTTGTTCAAACTGCTAGATTAGTTAGGGCCCTTCCTGCATGCACAAGCTTGCCCACTACAGTGGTAGGAGACTTCTGGTGGGCGGTAACATTTACACTACCCCTGCAGAAAACATGATCCCCGATAAATTTACATAAGAGCCCATAACAACCCATAACCCGGTTAAAGAAGATCGCTAAAACCTATATATATATATATATATATATATATCGCAAAAGGATGGTTCTGTGTCTGAGCTCCCTCAACGGCGCCCAAAGTCTTGGCCGCCCCACCATCTTCGAAACAGTGCTGCCTTATCAAGGAGCGGTCGTAGTCCTGCCAGGTTAGCCCTACACCTTAAATCAGCGTCATAAGGTGTCATACTGGGCCTCCGTGCTCGGGGTTTTCGAGGGTTTAGGAGGTCAGGGTTTAGGGGTGGAGGGCCTTAGGGTTTCGGGGAGGGGTTCCAGGTTTGGGCTGAGGGATTGTCGCGTCTTTGTGGGTCTGGCCTGCTGAAACAGGGGGTTTAGGGTTTAGGGTTTAGGGGTTTAGGATTTAGGGTTTAGGGTTTAGGGTTTAGGGGTTTGGGGTTTAGGGTTTAGGGCATCTAGAAGAACCTAGTGACCCAGCAAGTGGGGTATGAGTGCCGACAGAAGTAGGATGGCCTCATTTAGGCTTTCTGTTATCCAGATACTGTAAGGGTCAACATTCATCACTACCAATACCATGACATCGGGTACTCCATTGCCGATACGTTTACTATGATGTACCCCAGACTTGTCGTGCGTTACTTAACTACTAGGAATAGGGTGCACAGGCGCCTTTGTTTCGGGAGGACGACACTCATGTGGCGGCATGAGCATCGCGGATTTCTGTGCAGGGCATATCGACGAGGGCAAGAGGGGTCTTCGGCGAAACCATGTAATTTAGTTGATGTAGCTTGGCATTACTAATTATAAGATTCGTGAGACGACAAAGATCGCTGCGATTCGTAGAGTCCTGTGGGATGTCCCTCGACACACTAAAAGTAAACATGTCCAAGAGTTCGCACGGAGGCAGCCACGAGAAGCCTTCTGGTGAAACGGCGGCCACTCATCAAAACGACTCACCAACATGCGTTGATGCAGAAAAAATATCAAATACCAAGGCCAACGCCTGCCAAGCGCATGCGAAAATTCTGGGGCCTGGGGGATCTAGCTGGTATATAGGATTTTTGTGGAGGGGGTGCTGTGGTTTGGTGTCTAGGCTTGTTGCAAAAGCAAGCTGGCAACTCAGAACCTTTAAAACCCCCACATACAGTCACAGCATGCCAAAACGGTCCTTGAAGCCTTTAAAGCCCGAAAACCCAAAATCCTAAACCCTGAAATGAAAGCCTGGTAGCCCCAAAACCTGCCACGACCCCAACTGCCGTCTGTTCCTGAAAGCCAACGAAACCCTCAACACCGAAAAAATATAGAACACTCACCAAAGAGAAAGCCTAAACCGCCTAAACCCTAAACCCTGAAACCCCCGAAAACCCTAAACCCTAAAATCTCTTAAAAGCCATGAAACCAGCACGGCCCTAAAGTCAGAACCCTACACCCTAAACTCAAAAACCACACAAAAAAACAAAACCAAAAGTCAAAAACAAAATCACAACTGCACCATCCGCCGCCCCCCCCCCCCAAGTTCAGGCGCCTGGAAGGCCCGAGTTCGCTCCAGCTCGTCGCAAGGATGGTGGTTGAAAGCGTCCTCCGGGAAAGGGGCTCCAGGCAACTTTCGGGTGGTTTAGGTTTTTAGTGTTTAGGTTTAGGGTTTGAGGTGTGTAACAGTATGCGCCCGTTGGGTGCGCCTTTACTTTAGTCAAGCGCTTGCGTCAGCATGTAATCCCGCCCCAACCACCCCAACTATTCTCAATTAGGGTTTGGGGTTCACCCCCAAAGGGGGTTTCCTTGCTTTTTGCTTCCTTTCGCCGCTCGACACATAAACGACTGCATTTCACAGGAAACCACAGCTGAGATGGATTGGTGTAGGGTTGTGGCGCAGGCCGCGCCACATCCTCGCGGCCTGCGCCGGCCGCTCGACGATAGGCATGGGTTTCCAACAAACAACTTGCCCCTCACACCCTGTAAGGGTTGCTCGAAGTGTGAACACGCAGGGCAGGAAACACAAAGTCTGGGGTCCTGATTATAACGGACTGACGTCCGTATTGTGTGAGGCGCAGCCGAATCATCTCCGTCCCCGTATACCGGAAGGCTTTACCCTCCCTCAGCGTTTAGGGTTTAGGGGGCTCCAGGGATTTCTTTCCTAACCTCTGGGCTCAGGGGATTTGGGGTTCAGTGTTCAGGGTGTGGCCGTGCTTTTGTCTGATGGTGGTGGAGGAGAGGGTGTTCAGGGTTTTAAGGGTTTTAAGGGTCATGGGCTTAGGGTTTATGGTGTAAGGTCTTGAGATTGGGGCTTTCAGGGTTAGGGGCTTTGCGGCTTAGGGCGTCCCTGAACCCCCAACATGATAGACCTAAACTTTAAACCCCACAACCAGCGAGGAAGGAGCAGCTCTGCGTCCTGGATCTTAAACCCCGGAATCCTAAACCCCGGATTGTATGGGGCTTCTAGGCTTGATTGAAGGTGTCTCAGGAGTCTTTTTTCAAGCAATTCGACCCTAAACCTTGGCTGGACCTTCAGAGGGCTGCCCTTGCAGAGTTGAATATTCTACGTGCCTTGCAACAAATGGCTTCTTGGTGGCTTAGGGTTTCAGGTAAATCCTAAACCCAGAGTTCCACGGAGTTTGACGATGCTTTTGAGGCGTCAGTAGCGTGGCGCTCGCATTACAATTCGTTCAAACGTCCAAAACATCGACACGCGCACGTTGTTTTGGACTGCGTCTGGCCCAGTAGGGTTCTGGAAGGGCTTTTTCTGGTTGGGTTGACTGGTAATTCTAAAGCATCTGAAACTAAACCCTACAAAGCCATGACACTGAAGCCAAAACCTAGGCCCTCAACCCCAAATTAGACCCCAAGCCCTAAACCTAAACCCCAAACCTTAAAACTCCACAAGCCTTCGCACCGGTGAGGAAAGCGAAGCCATCGATTGACCGCTCTTGGCCACAACATCCCATGCCTGGTAGAGGTGTGGTGAGGGCCTTAACAACAAGAATAAGCTTCCATTTAAAGTACACCAAAAAAGTTCATAATAAGTTGGGTACAGCCGGGCCCCTGTAACAGTGACCACAATGAAACCCACAAAAAAAGCACAACTTCTTTATAAGGGGTTCATGCAAAACCTAGATTTACAATTGTCACTGAAAAAAATGGGTGCAGAAAAAATCTGGTTTGTTTCCCTTCCCTGCATAGTTCTGTGATCTGTGCATCGATATTATTTGAGTCCCACCAGCCCCCTGCTTTCCCCTTCTCTTTATGCCATGATCACACAATGTTCGCAGTTGGTGTTTCTGTTCACCTACTCTTGTTATTTCTTTTTTTATGACCACGGAGCCCGAAACAGTGTAGGCCTCATAGTTAGCTGGAATGTCTTAGAATTTATAACTTATAAGTTAATCGACTTCCAGTCATGTAATGTGCCATTTTGGGATATAAACACAGATATTGATATCAATCAATATGAAAGCCACAATGCCGACAATGCCGCTAATCAGAAATTTCGAAAATTAGACCATGACTTCCTGCAGCATGCCTAGAAGAAAGGATGCTGCTGCATCCCCTGAAAACCTGCAACTGAGCATTCACTCAGCACCATAAGTCGTTTCCCTTCTACGCACGCATCGAACATAGACAATCGGCAGACAATGACACTGCACCTTCTTTTTGGGGGGAATGAATTGAGGGGAGAAGGGATGAGTCTAATTAACCCAAACTGCAAGCTGGTGAGGTGCAGGGAGGCCACAGAGGGGGGTGGCCTTGGCCGGCCTGGGGGTGCAGCGAGGCCACAGAGGGGGCTGGCCTTGGCCGGCCTGCAGACCGTGGGGGGTCTGGTGGCCACTTGATCATTTTTAAAGGCGCCGGCCTTTCCCCAGGATTTTGGCAGGTAGATTCCAAATTTTCCTGATTCAGTTGTGCGTTTTTCTGGTTTCAGTTGTGGTTTTTTCTGGATTCAGTTGTGCTTTTTTTGTGGTTGTGATTTGAAGTTTGTGGTTTTTTTGTGGTTGTGATTTGAAGTTTGTGGTTTTTTTTGTGGTTGTGATTTGAAGTTTGTTGTCTGGATTCAGTTGTGCTTTTTTTGTGGTTGTGATTTGAAGTTTGTGGTTTTTTTTGTGGTTGTGATTTGAAGTTTGTGGTTTTTTTTGTGGTTGTGATTTGAAGTTTGTGGTTTTTTTTGTGGTTGTGATTTGAAGTTTGTGGTATTTTGGTGCTCACCCACCGTGCCAAGCCACGGCAAAGCACCAGCAAAAGCACAAACTTCAAATCACAACCACAAAAAAAGCACAACTGAATCCAGAAAAAACCACAACTGAAATCTAGTGGTCACAGACACAGAGGTAATTTTGAAAGCTGCTGCTCCTGGCTGCCTGGCAGATTAGCAGAGTTGAGAAATTGCTGCTCCTGGCTGCCTGGCAGATTAGCCTGGCAGATTAGCAGAGTTGAAAGTTTGCTGCTACTGGCCACTGGCTCCCTTGTACATTGAAAAAGTTCCGGTTTTGCTGCCCTTGCTGGCTGGGAGAAGTAGTAGATTTCAGAGATTGCTGGTACTGCGGAGAGAGGGGAGAGAGGGGAGAGAGGGGAGGGGAGAGAGGGGAGAGAGGGAGGGGAGAGAAGGGAGAGAGGGAGAGTGAGAGAAGACAGGTGGGGGAGAGGGGGGAGAGGAGAGGAGAAGGGGAGGGCAGAGAGGGGAGAGGAGAGAAGGGAGGGAGAGAGGAGAGAGAGGGAGAGAGGGAAGAGCGAGGGAGGGAGGGAGAGGAGGGGACAGAGTCACAGGGGAGGGGGGAGAGGGGAGAGAGGGGAGAGAGGGGAGAGAGGGGAGAGAGGGGAGAGAGGGGAGAGAGGGGAGAGAGGGGAGAGAGGGGAGAGAGGGGAGAGAAGGGAAAGGAGAGGGGAGGAGGGAGGAGAGGGGGGAGAGGGGAGAGAGGGGAGAGAGGGGAGAGAGGGGAGAGAGGGGAGAGAGGGGGGAGAGGGGAGGAGAGGGGAGAGAGGGGAGAGAGGGGAGAGAGGGGAGAGAGGGGAGAGGGGGGAGAGGGGAGACAGGGAGCAACTGTTTTGCCGGAAAAGTAGTTTGGGAAGGCCAACTTGGTCAACTTCCTTGCCCAAAAACAGTTGTGCGTTTTTTGGGGGTGTCTATATAAGGAAATGGTTATTCCACTGTTACAGGAGCCCGGCTGTACCCAAATAATAAGTGTTGTGTGTAGGGCTTTGCTATAGGTACCGGAAAATGACTTTGGGGATATCTATTCTCCGCTATAAGTTCAATTTGAGGCAACCCTACGAAATCATATAAGTATCCCTTTAAGCCCTGAAAATTCAACTGAAGCCCGGGGTACGTCCAGGCAATCTGGAACCGCAAACAGCGGGGGTTCGACGTTCAGGGTTTGGGGATTGCACAAGGTTACTTGAAAGGTAGAATCAGGTAGAAGCCTCCTGATTCAGAGAAACCGTATCCTGCATGCCCCGAATTGAACCGAAAGATCAGAAAACTGCCTTACCACAAAATATCAGCTCCGTCTGTGGATTAACTGGTCCAGATTGGGTCCGGTGTTATCACCCCCTGCCCCACAAACCTCTTTTACGAACCTTTTGAAGGAACCCTGTTCTAAGTTCGGGCCCGTATCTCATTTACTGAGGCTTACCAATCCTGAGCCCCAAACCTTAAACCCTAAACCTTAAACTCTAAAGCCTAAACCCCAAACCTTAAACTCTACCCTAACCCCGAAGAACCTGAATTTTTAAGGCCTTATTATAACGAAAGCACAAAAAAAGGAACCCTAAAAAGCAAGGTTATTCAGGGTTAAGGTACACCCGAAACCCCAAACCCTAAACCCTAATCCCTAAACCCCCAACCCTAAACCCTCATCCCAAAAACCCCAAACCCTGAACCCTACGCCTTGGACCCGTCGCGAACTTAGGGCCCAGCCCATGGAGGCCATCTGGGCATTGAAGCACGCCATAAGCTGCTCCTGTTGTTCTCAAAGGGGAAAAGGAGGGACCCTTAATCGGGACCCCTACCTATAATGGGCTATATAATGGGCATATAATGGCTATATTCAGGTTCTATACCTAGGGCCCTACGGGGTCCTTATTAAGGGTTCCTCCTTTTACCCTTTGATGTTCGGGGTTTGTCATTCGCGGGGCTCCTAGGGTTTAGGGTTTTTTTAAGTTGAAGTAGGTAAGGGGCTCCTTAAAGGGATCTTTAGGGTTCCTTAAAGGGATCTATAGGGTTTAGTTAAGGGTTTAGGGGCTACTTGGAGGATCATGGGACTTAGTAACTAAGGTTACAATTAGAGTAATTATACTTATAACTACTTATAACCCCAACTGAGGTGCTCATAACCTTACTAAGCCTCATGATCCTCCAAGTAGGGTTTAGGCTTTCTTTTTTGAGTTGATGTGCACCCTTTTGGCAGTTTGCCCTCAACTTAGTGAAACATAAAATCGCCCGTTGTTTAGGGGTTAGGGTTTAGGGGATTGGAAATCAAGATATGGTTTTAGAATATATTGTACTATAGTTACAATTACGGACCTGTTCAAGCCTCTCTTGAATATCTTTCCAAAAAGCAATGGTCTCTGCAGACCCCAAAACTCAACGCCTAAACCAAACAAGAAAGGACATCTAATCTCGCCAAAACTAGCAGCTGCCAAGTAGCAGAGTAAAGCCCTCTCAGCCAGTTCGGAATTCAACGTTCAGGGTTTCAGGGTTTAGAGGTTTAGGGCCTTTAGGGGCTTGACCCCCAATCCCTGTGCCTAGTAGACCCATCTTATACGGTCTCCCGCTCTGGCTGGCGCGGCTGACAATTCCGAGGACGGCGACTCTGGCAACAACGGCCGACTCAGGAAATGGCGGTCCGCTATACCAGAGGACACCACCACATGACGTTCCAACTTTCCGGGGCTTCTACTGTACATCACTTGCCAGCGGTTTCGACGTCAGGGACCTTCCTCTCACACTGAAGGAGGCAGAAGGATACTCGGCACCGGATTCGAAGAGAACGGCCCGGTAGTGTCCTGCCAGTGGAGTGGGGCCAATGTGTATGATGGCAGCAGCCACCCGCTTGTCGAAAGCATGGGACATGTACCTCCTGTACCCGTGCCACGACCCGCCTCTGCTCAGCCGATTCTTGCTAAAGTTGCCAGAGTTTGCTATATAGGCCCTGTAAAACCCTAAACCCTAAACCCTAAACCCTAATAAAGCAACGCTATTACTGTAGACCACGTATTCAGACCTTTCTGAAACCAATCCCACAGTGCTTTGACCCCAAGAGAGCGACATCTCGAGAGGGGTGGCGGCTTCAGTTTCGGGGCTTACCTACTTGGAGGATCGGGGGACTTAGTAAGTAAGCCTAGAAGTCCCCTAATTGGGGTTAGAAGTACGTATAAGTATAGTTACCTTATTTATAACAATAGTTACTAAGTCCCATGATCCTTTAAGTATAGTCTCCATTGCAGTTCCCTTTTTGGGTTAAACCAAGCACTATACTATAGGATCCTAATCATAAAGTTGGTTAAGCAAAAAAGGAGCTGCAATGGAGGCTTCCCTAAACCCCTATAGATCCCAATAGAACCCTTAATAATAGTCCCCATAACCCTGGCTGACCAAAAAAAGGAAAATACAATGGAGACTCTAAGTAGCCTGCCTTGAGTTTCGGGGTTGAGTATCCATCCTACAGCCTCGATCTCCTCGCCCCGAAGAACCTACATTTCTAAGGCCTTATATAAAAGAATCAAAAACAAGGAACCCTAGGGTTAAAGCAGGGCCTGAGGAATCGTATTATCGGACTTAAGGCGCATCGAAGCATCGCTTGGTGCCTGGTGTTTTGGGTTCAGCATACTTGAAGTACGACTGTCTCGGGCTCCAGAAACCAATCTGCCATGTGGGATGCAACTACAACTCGACCTCCCTACGAACCCATTCTAAAACCCCGTGTCAAACCCGACAAAACCATCAGGACCCTTATCAACCCTTGTAAATACCCTATGCAAACCCTCCCTACAACACCCATGCAACCCTTCAAACCCTGTGCTGGGGCCCCTGCCCCAGTAGGAGGCTCTGGGCGGTCCTCCCCGCGCTTCAATTGTGGGTTGTGGGTGTTGGCTTCGGTTTTCTGGTGTAGGGTCCAGGATGTTGGCTTGCATTTGGAATTCAGGGCGCTTGGGATTTCAGGCTAAGCCTTACGGGTTGCGGGAATTCAAGGTAAAGAAATTCCCCCGAACCCTAACAGATACTACGAGGGGCCAGAGTAAGCATGTCGGCGCGACAATGTTTAGGATTGAAACCCAAAGGCTCAAAGGGTCCTAAGAACAGCAGAAATAGGGTTCCTACAACCGGAATTCCCGTCATGGTTTGGAAAGTATCCCTTTCCAAGGTACCTCGGACCTTTTGGGAAAGCCAATTTTTGGACCGCCAACATTCTAAGTTGAGCCTCCCCTTGCTCTATCAATCTGGATTTTTCGAATTACGAAGTCCTAAACCCACTAAACCCACTAAACCCAATAAACCCCCTAAATCCTAAACCCCCGAAACCACCTCTATAAGCGTTGAAATCAACTCCTACTATACCTCAAGACATGTCCCAATCCTAGTAGGAATCAACGAAAATCGACAAGAACCCACAAAACAACAAAAGCTCCACGAAATGATCTCACAGGAGGTTTTTGGTTCAGGGTTGAGGGTTAGGTCTTCTGCAACTACTTGGAAGGTCGGGGGACTTAGTAACTGGTTATTTTAGGGACTTATAGGTACCATAACCCCAATTAGGGTTCCTTTTAGGGTACTTATAAGTCAACTTACTACCTACTTACTAAGTCCCCCGACCCTCCAAGCAACTAGCACAGGCCTCATTGAACTCCTCTTGCCGGAACCTCGGCGCTCAAAAGGCTGGCCGGACGTGATCCCAAACACCCCTCTTTCCAGCTACAGAACCAGGTTTAGGGCTTTTGGGTTTAGGGGTTTAGGGTTTACGGCTTTTTGGGGTTTAGGTGTACGGTTTTTGCGGGTTTCGGGCTTTTGGGGTCTAGGGTCTTAGATAAAGGCATCAAACTCACTTCATAGTTACAGATAATGGTACGAGGACAACCAACAAGTTTAGGATTTAGGGTTTAGGGGTTTAGGGTTTAGGGGTATAGGGTTTAGGGGTATAGGGTTTAGGGCAGAGGGCTTGGCGGGCACACAATGTGGTCTAGGGTTCTGCGAAGCTGCGACTGCATCAGAAAAGTCGTCTTGTGGTTACAAACATCAGATTATTGCACTGAATCCTCCCCTAACCCCTAAACCCTACAACCTAAAGCCTGGGCCTAGACCCTAAACCCAAAACCCACAACCCAAAACCCTAAACCCTAAACCTTAAACCCTAAACCCTACACCCCAAAACCCCTAGACCCTTAACCTCCCAAATCCCCGAACAAACAAACCCTGCGCCCCGAAGGCACAGGCGCAAAGAGCGCATAAATCTCGTGGCTAAGACCCCCACTGCCGCGCGCAGCTGCCGTCGTAGCGCTCACCACCCAGGAGCTGGAGCAGGACCTACAGTAAAAGCCAGAAAGTTGGAATATGATTATCCTAAACCCTTTATGGTAAATTATAGGGTATCCTACCCTGAAACCATGTTCCAACTTTCTGGAGTTCCCTTTAGAGGCAGTCTGAGGGTTTAGCGCTTAGGCTTTTGAACTTCAGGGATTGTGGCTCTTGAGCCTTGAAAAATCTTGGGTGGATTGGTACCTCGTTAAGACCAGTAGGCAAATTTGTGGAGTTTGTCTGTGTAGCTTTTGACTGCTTTCTTGGCTTTGTGTGGTCTATATCTCTCCAATTCACAAGGCTTGACAAGGTTTAGGGTTTAGGGTTTATATGGTTCTTCCGAGTTTAGGGTTCAGGCTTGACAGGGTTTTCTGGGGCTATATACGGTTCTTCAGGGTTTCCAAGACCTTTAAAGGTGTTATTCTGTCATACGGCCGCTATGGTCTCGAAATGGTTTAGGGTTTAGGGTTTAGGCCATTTACTTGCATGTCGACTTTACGGGGTTTGACTGAGCCGAGAACTTTAGGGTTTAGGTTTAGGGCAGGTTTTGGGGTGTAGGGGTTGCAATCACCATCATCAACAGCATCGCTACAACCATGGCCATCATTAGGACTAGCTTTGCAGCAACGATGAGAACTGACGAAAAAAAGGCCTGGGTAACAGGGACTTACTTTTTCCTAGTACCCACATAAATATTTTTGCAGATACTGATATAGGTATCTACGTATTTAACTGCTTGTGTTCTGTATTGGTGTACTCATGTATACATTACATATATATATATATATATGTATACATACATACATACATAGATATATATACATATACAGATAGACCTAGATCCCTGTGTACATATACATATACGTATGCATATGCATACAAATACACATACACATACACGTATACCTATACCTATACATACACATGTACATATGCAAGTTTACATATATGGACATGTGCACGTGTATACAGTACGCGCATACATAATCAAAAACACGTATGCACGAACATACGTGTACACTCCCTCAACTCACAACTCAAAAGCCCCAAGCTCAGAAACCCAGCGTCCACCTCAAAGAACCCAAAACCCTAAACCCTAAACCCCTAAACCCTAAACCCCTAAACCCCTAAACCCTAAGCCCCTAAACCCTAAACCCCGAAACCCTAAACCCCTAAACCCTAAACCCTGGACCCTTTGGGCTTTTGCAAGAATCCGCAACTCTGGTATTCGGACTTCGGGCTTCGAGTGCCCTTAGAGATTTGGCTGCCGTGCTTCTGGTTAAAGTGTCCAGGGTTTAAGGCTCAGGGTTTAAGGTTTAGGGTTTTAGGGTTTTAGGGTTTAGGGTTTAGGGTTTAGGGTTTAGGGTTTTAGGGTTTAGGGTTTAGGGTTTAGGGCTTAGGGTTTTTTTGGGGGGGTTTAGGGTTTAGGGCTTAGGTTTAGGGCTCAGGGTTTAGGGTTTAGGGTTCCTGCAGGCTGAACCCGACACTCAAGAAGCCGACCGGGCCAACTTCTGCTTCTGCTTGCCCAGAGATCCCAATACCCCTTAACCAAGGAATATACCTTAAACCATAATGTAGGGTTTAGGGTTTAGGGTTTAGGCCCCTGTAATAGAAGGTATTATCCTTAATTGAAAAAGGTATTGGGATCTCTGAGTGGTGTCTTCGCACTTGGAGGATTGGGGCACTTTACAAAGTAAGCTACACTTGCAGCTGTCAGTGACCTAACTGGGGTTCTCCTACTTGGAGGTTCGGAAGGCTTGGCGAGTAGCAAAAAACTAGAGCTATAAGTGCCCGAAGTGGGATCCTAATCGGGGCTTCGGTACTTTTTTCTCTAAGAGCTGGCTAAACCCTAAACCCTATACTGATAACTCTATACCCTCCAAGCACTCGCCCAAGTCTCAAGCCCTGAAAGCCTGAGGAATCTTAAAGACGAACAAACCTTGAAGGCTTTTCAGGATTTAGGAAGTTTGTGGGTCGAGGTCTGAAGATTTAAGTACATGCAGTTTGCGGGCTTTAGGCTTTAGGGTTTCGGGTTTAGGGTTTAGGGTTTAGGGTTTCGGGAAAAGGGTTTAGGGTTTAGGGTTTAGGGTTTCGGGAAAAGGGTTTAGGGTTTAGGGTTTAGGGTGCTGGACGGTTTCCCTGAACCAAAAACCGCAGACCCCAAACTCTCACCTCGTACATGCAGCCATTGTCAGCCCAGGGCCACTCGCCGGTGCCTTGGCGACGCGAACCCCACACGCATTCTGTGCAGCCCTCAAAAAACGAGGCCATAAGCCAAGGAAGGACAAACCGAACAGAAACCCGTGACCTCAAACAACTTAAACCCCACGCCCTAAACCTTAAACCACTTCAACCCTTATCTTGAAACCGTTGAAGTTCTGGCTCCTTCAACGATCAAGGCTCCGAACTTCACGGGCTTAGGGATCAGAGAAGTTTAGAGTTTCACAGGTTTTGGGTTCTACATTAAACATGTAGGTAGAATATACATACATACATGCAAACATACAGACATACAGACATACAGACATACAGGCAGACGTACAGGCATACAGGCATACAGACATGCGCATGCACATGCTACGGTCAAGGGGCAGGTCAAGAGGAGGCCAACCATCACAGCAAAATCCTCTGCAAACGTATGTCACGGAGGATGCACATGCACATACACATGCACAAACATATATAGATATATACATACAGACATGCACATACAAAGACGTACACCCGTACATATACATACGCAGACACATACACACATACAGATACATATACAGATACAGATGCATATACAGATGCAGATACGTGTCCAGATACAGATAAATGTACATATACATGTGCCTGTACAGGCACATGTACATATACATGTACAGAACCATATACCTATGCGTATGCACATACATATACGTATACATAGAAATAGACATAGACAAAGACATATACATCATACACATATACATAAACGTATACATAAACATAGACACATACATATACAAATACATATACAGAGCATATACACATACATATACAGATGCATATACGGATACATATACATGTACATGTATGTATGTATATATATATATACATATATATATATACATGTACATGTATATGTATATACATGTACATATTTACTCTGTGTTTGTGTGCGCGTGCTTCTCTTGTTGCGTCTCTGAATCCACATTATATAGTTACATAAATCTGCAAACAAGTACATGCATATATCGTATATATATATGTACACTATATATACATACATACATACATAAATACATACATGCATGCATACATACATACATACATGTGTATGTACACATATTCTGTAGCTATGAGGGCACAGAAGACGCTCACCAGCCGGCCACGAGCGGTAGCTGAGAGCCCCGGGCCCGGTAAGGTCGCCATGGTACATCCAGGCATGGAGGCAGAACCCGCGACCGCGGTTTAGGGTTTAGGGTTGAGAGTTTAGGGGTTTAGGGTTTGGGGGTTAGGGGTTTAAGGTTTAGGGGTTAGGGGTTTAAGGGTTTAGGGTTGAGGGTTCAGGGAGCTGCCCATCGAGATGCTGATGAACGATGGGGGCATGGAGCCATTTCCCTGCGGAGTCTTGGTGAAGCCATTGAAAGGCGACTTGGCTTCAAGCCTGGCCCACAGAAACTCTGCAAGGCGGTAGTTTCCGAGAATCAGAGTACCTTATTTGGGGGTCCTTATAGTAAAGATCCTACTATTTGGAGTACTGTATTAAGGTCCACTATTTTCGGAAACTCCCATACGGCAGCTGGCTGGAGAGATGGCGGGTGTGATGAGTCAGAAGCCAAGTGCTTTGAAAGGTTCGGGCCGTGGACGTGAACTTATCCTTTCCCTTCGTGACATCGAAGACGTTCAAGCGTGGACAGGCATTTGGCAACCGTGGCGTGACCCTTACCTTTGGTTAGTAGGGAATGGAAGAATGGTAGTAATAGTAGTTACATTCCTCCATTCCCTACTAACCAAAGGTAAGGACCAGGACCGGCTGGGGAACACGATGAGGACTGACGAGACCCTCGCACTGAATGTGGGCGCGGGCAGAGCCAGTCTTGTGATGTGCAAAGCTTTTCGGCCTTTGCTGCCATCGAGTGCGAACATGTGCCATTCGCAGACGTGGACGCACTTCTGGAAGTACGGATTTCAGAAGAGGGAGTGTATCAACGAATCCCCATTGCCGTGTTCGTGCCGGGGCGCCAACGATGGAACTCCGATGATAACCACAATCCTTAAGCCCATGATCTGCGTGGGATCGAAGTTTTGTGGCGATGCCGGCTGTGCCTCTTGGCAGGTTGGTCACCATGCTGTTCAGTCAGGTGCCCTGCCGGATGCAGGGAGTATCCTAGGGTCGAAATTGACGTGGGAGGGGTTCATGACGGATGATACGGTACAAGTGTCGCTCCTGATCGCGACAAGTTGCAGGGCATGGAGGCTCTCATCGCTAGATTTTGGGAGGCACTCTGCGACCTGTTTGCTCTGTCCGTGAATGAGGCTGTTTGCATGATGAATCGCAGCAACCCGTAGGTGAGGGTAAGATTCATCTATGGTTGCGACTCTGTTTGATGCTTAACGAAGTATTGCGGGTCATGGAGATAGGGTTCAGAAGTTTTTTTGCGCTTGACGTTTTTCGGGCTTCCGGCCCGATGGCCTAAGGGCGTTGGGATAAACGGTAAGTTGGCTTACAGGATCATAGGAGGGCGGTTTCTTCCCTCATTCTAGACCTAAGCAACAAGCCCGGCTTGCGGACGCACTGAGCTTCGCCCGAAACCCGAAAAGGAAACTCTAAACATATTGAGTTTCTCTAAAACCCTAAACCCTAAAGCCCCTAAACCCTAAATCCTAAACCCTAAAGCCCCTAAACCCTAAACCCTAAACCCCCTAAACCCTAAACCCTAAACCCCCTAAACCCTAAACCCTAAACCCCCTAAACCCCCTAAATCCTAAACCCTAACCCTCAACCCGGCTAGACCATCGGGCTTCCGGGGCGGTGAAGGCCCTTCGATGCCCGAACCATTGTGGAGCTTAGGGACCTTTAGTGTAGGGTTTAGGGTTTAGGGTTTAGGGTTTAGGGCTTAGGGTTTAGGGTTTAGGGTTTAGGGTTTAGGGACCGTTAGTGTAGGGTTTATGGAGTTTACTGTAAGTGTTTTACGGCATTTAAAATGGGGTTTACAAAGTTTTAGTGTAGAATTTAAGGATTTTTGTCTTTGCTGATTTTGTATAATGCTTAAGGCTGTTAGGGTAGGGTCTAGGTCTTTTCGTGTAGAGCTTAGGGGTTTTAATGTCGATTAAGTTTTAGGGGCTTTGGTGTAGGGCTTAGGGCTTGAAGTTTAAGGCTTCAGAAGACAGCACGCCGCACCGGAAATAAAAAACCCAAATCGTGAGATCCTTCTATCTCCAGAGAAGGGACCCCTTTCGTTCTCCTGAGAGCGCCATTTTGGGTTTGGCGTTAGGGTTCGAATAAGGGTTTAGGATTTAAGGTTGGGTTGGGGTTTAGAGTTCAACTCTTCTGGGAGTCCCAACGACAGCCACGGCGCCACGCTCGGAAGAAGGACATCGAGGCACCCTCCTTGGCCACCTCCCAGCTAATTAGGTTTTTCGGGTCTGGCAGTTTTTTGGGCTTAGGGATCAAAGGGCATTTAGATTGTACCTGGACGCTCTTTCGGCGGGACGTTTTGCCAAGCCTCTGCGCGCTGACTGCGAGAAAGCAGCAAGCCGGGGACAGTCTTAACCCCAAGCCCTGTCTAAACCCAAAATCCTAGACCCAGAACCCCTAAACGCTCAACCAAGATGGAAACGGAGGGGACTCTTCTAGCCATGCAGGATGAAGGTGTAAGAGTTTTGGGGGGGTGAAGAAGGGATGCCAAGCAGGCCTACCAAGTCACAACAGCCTCCCAGTCACGCTTACTTCGTCCCTCGAACAGGATCCTTGTGTCCAGACTTCTTGAAAAAGACGAAGGAAATTCCTAAACCGTAAACCCTATCAAAACCCAAGCCACAAGAAGAAAAACGTATCCCTCAGTTTGGCCAAGCATTGAGTTTGGGGCACATGGGGGTTTCGGGCTTACTTGGAGGATCAGGGGACTTAGTAAGTAAGGTTATAAGTACCCTAAATGGCTTAGAAGTAAGTAGAAGTATAGTTACCTTAAACCCTAAACCCTAAACCCTAGACCCTAAACCCTAAACCCTAAACCCTAAACCCTAAACCCTCGTTACTAGGTCCCATGATCCTTTAAGTAGGGTTCCCAAGTTGCAGATCCCGGGCTTTTGGGGTTTGGGCTTTAGGGTTTAGGGTTTAGGGTTCAGGGTTCAGGGTTTAGGGGTTTGGTTTAGGGTTTAGGGTTCAGGGTTTAGGGTTTAGGGTTTAGGGTTTTGGGTTCAGGGTTTTGGGTCTAGGGATGCGTGTATACAGTGTGCATGCGGTGGGTGTTTTTGTAGGAATGGGGGGTCGCGCCTACTTATCGCACGCTTGCGCCAGCATGCAGTCCCACCCCAACCACCCAAACTATGTTCAATTTGGGTTTAGGCTCACCCCCAAACACCTGCCAGGGAGGTGTTCTTGCTCTCTGCTTCCCGTCGCTGATCGACACAATAAACGACAACATTTCAATGCAAACCACAGCTGAGATGGATTGCCAGCCCGGGGCCCGTCATTAGCGGGCCTCAATAATTACCTATAGTGTTTTGGGGCTCCTTATTATACTTGTAGTATAAAAGTCCTCTTGTAGCGGGAGGCTTTGAAACTCTCGGCCGGGGTCTGGCTCGGAGCATCGAGCGCCCATGCCGATCGCAGTCTCGGCAGTTGAAGGATTTAGGGGTTTAATGTTTAAGGGTCGAGGGATACTCTAGGAGTCTACGTAATTACCAATACTATTGTGGGAGGGTTCCATAGTATAATTATAGTATAATGGGCCCTCAAACCCTTATAAAAATGAAGCCCTTGAGCCCTCTACAATATGGGGCTGCGGATTCTTCGGAGTTGGACCAAAAACCCTAAAACCCTAAACCCCAAAACCCTAAACCGTTTCAGATTCGGCCTTGAGCTCGGGCTCGGGTTGTCTTACAGCCCTGGCTCCTGACGTTTAGGGTTTAGGGTTTAGGGTTTAGGGTTTAGGGTTTAGGGTTACAAACCTGACAGCCAAACCCCAAACTCAGGTCCATCCAGTTTAAGGTTACGTCTCTCTCTCTCTCTCTCTCTCTCTCTCTCATGTTGGCTCCATGCCAAGAAGCCAAGACTGGGCCTTGGTAAGCCTCATAGACACCAGGGGTCTGGCGCAGACTTGCCAAGTCTGCCTCACTCAGTGTGTCCGAGCTCTCGGGCGTGGCAACCACAATTCCAGAGGGTGGCTCCTCAAAGAGCTGCATCTGCTTTCCAAGCCACTTGCTCCCCATGCAGGAACTGTGACAACCGTTTCAAGCCAAACTTGGTGCCTGGGCCATTGGTGTGCTCCATGTTCCACATCCTGAGCCGACAAGGAAGGCTTCGGGAAGCCCACAAGCCACCTATACCCAGAAAAAACTCAAACCCCACAGCCTGGGCGAAACCCTACGCCCGAAACCTTGAAACCTAGGCCCTCCACTCGAAACCCTAAACCCTACGGTTGATGATAACTCCTGCATTACCTGAAGGACCCTAAACTATGGGAATTATGGTATATTCATCATTATGGGTAATGCAGGATTTATATCATCAACCCTAGGTCCCTAGAAATGCAGAGCCTCCAAAAAAAAGACGCCATTGTTCAGCGACAGGGCGTTGTCCGTGAAGACCACGGGTCTCGGTGAATTTGAACGTTTGGGGTTTAGGGAATGGCCGGCTTCCAGAAATTGAAAAGGTGCAATACATCAAGGATACACTTAAAGGATCATGGGACTTAGCAACTAAGGTTATCATTCGGGTAACTATACTTATAACTCCTTATAAGCCCAATTCAGGTACTTTTAACCGTACTTGGTAAGTCCCATGGGTCCTGCAAGCAGCTCCACTTCGCTCCAGGCCGCCTCAATCATGTCTGAGATACATTTACAGCTCTATGCAATCCTATAGAGAACCCCAGAAAGTTGGAACATGGAAATAGGATGACAAGTGCTAGGATTCCCTTTACTTTACCTTAAGGGAATAGGGGTAATTTATGATGTTGCAAGTTTCTGAAGCCTCAAATCTTGAATCATAGACAAGCCTTGAACCAGCAAACTCCCAGGATCTCCTAGCAGCTGACCCTAGGGTTTAGGGTTTTAGGGTTTAGGGTTTAGGGTTTAGGGTTTTAGGGTTTAGGGTTTAGGGTTTTAGGGTTTAGGGTTTAGGGTTTAGGGTTTTAGGGTTTAGGGTTTAGGGTACGTCAGGGTATCTAGGATTCTGGTCGCAACTCCGGTCCTGACCGTCTTGATCCTTCCAGTAGATGCTACACTCCAAACCCTACTTGGAGGATCATGCGACTTAGCACGTAAGGTTATCAGCCCAATTGGGATGATAAGTCATCATAGCTCAAAACCTCAAACAGGCGCACTCTCACAGTGTCCCGTTTGGTGATTGTCACTACATTTACTCTTGTATCTCATTTTAGAACTCTAGCAGCTAAGTCCCATGATCCTAAACCCTAAACCCTAAATACTAAACCATAAACCCTAAACCCTACCTGTTACCGGCGGCCCCCCAAAGAAGCTGCCCTAAACGGAAAGATCTGAGGAAACCAGAATCACGGCTTGGGCTTGGAGTTTAGGGTTGAGGAGCTTTTGGTCTGGGGTTTTGGGGTTTAGGGCCTAATCCCGTTAAACCGAGGCGCTCTATCTACTCTCAACGAACGGGTTGGTCAGAGTCGCCAGACCTGTTGGGGTTCGAGTTCCGGGCTTGGTTGGTTTTGTGCTGCTTTCTGGTCTTCGGTCTAGGTTCTTGGGATTCCGGCTTGTCGTAGTATTTGGGATTGCGGCTTCGGGAGGTCGGCTTTAGGGCGTAGGGCTTCGTATGAGACCCGCAATGAAAGCCCGAAGCGCAAAACTGCGCGGAACCCATGAACCTCTACGAGCTTCATGAAGGCTGCAAGATTGAATCTCGTATAAGCCCAAGAAATACAAAGTCCGCTCGCATACAAACCCCAATGACTGGACCAATTCCCGAACCTGGAACCCAAATCCTTGAACCCTAAACCCTAAAAACCTAAACCTTAAACCCTTCATCCTAAAACCTTGAACCTGAAAGGCTAAAGTGCGATCTAAACACATAAACCCTGAAACCCAACTCCCTGAACCTTCATAGGGCTCCGGCACAAATCCCGCGGCGGCCAGAAAATCGGTCAGGGCAGTCTCCGGGCGCATGATGTGTGTGTCCACCTCTTCTATCTGTAGGTGTTAGTGAGTATATCTACAGGGGGTTCTGCTGGGCGTGTTCATGCGAGTGTCTAAGGTTTTGGGGCTTCGAGGTTTGGGGGCAATGGGTTTACAAGAATCGATGTTCAGCTTATTTGGTCTGCTTGGTAAGTAGTCGTTATAAACAGAAAAATGCATACATAGACACATACATACCTCTGTGCATACATTCATACATACTACATACATACATGGGTGGTTGTCAAAATTAGGGTCCCTTTTTGGGGTACCCTAAATAACAGGTGCCGTATTATAGCAGGTACCCCAAAAGGGACCATAATTTTGACAACCACCCACATACATACATGCACCCTGAATGGGCTACCAGAATTACACTACAGCCCTGATTCCCCTGTGTCGAAGGAGTCTCGTGTTGGGGCTTTAGGGATTTGGGGTTTAAGGTTTAAGGTCAGCGTTGGGTTTAGGGTTTAGGGTTTAGGGTACTAGTTAGTAGTAAAAATACCCTCTTTACAATCCCTACGCAAGTACGGTACTCAAGCAATCGGCATAGCCCCAAAACCTATTAAAAGCATTCGTTACAGTCCCTGCGCACTTATATTACTGTAGTAACAGTAGCGTATAGGAATGAGCATACCCCCGAAACCTGTTAAAGCGATTCAGGCACCTCACTAAGACCCCCTGCACAGCCCTTCTCACACAACCCTGCTCTACCCACTTTAACCTGTAAAGAACAAAACAAACCCACAAACTTCTGTGCGGCCCAGTGACACCCAGTATAAAATGCAACAACCCTAAGAAACCCTATGAAGAAGACCTGTGAAGCCTCCCAATGAAACCACACAAAACCTGACAGAACCCATCCACTAATTTCAAAAACTTGGTGTCACCAGCATGGTTTCAGTCTCTAACACGACAGGGCTTAGGGTTCAGGGTCTAGGCTTTACAGGATCCTTGCCTAAAGAAGTACTGCTGGAAGGAAGCTCAACTGAAGGGCCCTAAAACTAAACCTCCGGCCATATTTACTTAACTGCCACTGTATTCAGGCATGAATTCTTGGGGACATCTTGCCAAGAACAACTCACAAGCCATCCAGGGGTCGAGCATCATGCCAGAAGATGTAATCGCCTCACACAGCTCCAGGAGGGCTTACTTGGAGAAGCAAGTAGCTTTTACTTAAGGAGTGAGGTACTTGAATAAGATAGATTCATCAATCATGGGTGGGCTGTTTGAAAAGAGATGCTCCCTCAAAACCCCAGCGCGCCAACTGAGAGACGTGACAAAACTCGAAGACAGGTGCCGTGACTTCACAGGCATGTAGCACACCGTCCCCAGTGTATGCATGTAGATACATGTTTGCCTGGTATGCTTTCTGTGTTGTTCTTCTTCTTTCGGATTCTTTATGTGTACGTATACTTTCGTTTTTACGTAAAGCCGCACTTGTACTTGCACTTAACCTTATGCTGGAAGCTATGCTTGTACAGAGATTTGATATACTTAGATTACTTAAACACCATGTTGTGCTTGTCCATCTATCTGAATCTATCTATCGGACGCAGGCCTTTCTTGCTTTCCACCGGGGGCGGCCGACGGGCCTTATGATATGGGACTATCATCGCTAGTGGTAGTTCGCCCGATACCCTATTCAGATTGATTAATGTAGGGGCCTTTATAATCCGCCGAGGCCACACACCCAGGGGTTAGCTCAGTTCGGCCCGCTTTTTGCGTTCGTTTGCCACCCCCTGGCCCGGCCTCATTTTACCTGATTTGTCGGCCTGCCCCCCCCCCTCCCAGGCCTCCCCCCCCCCCTCCCCGCCACTTCCCCCCCCGCCCCCCCCCCCCCCCCCCTCCCCCCCCATCCCCTCCCCCCCCCCCCCCCCCTCCCCCCCCTCTCCTACCCATTCCTCGCACTTCGTATCAACAACCGGGTTTGACAGGCCGCCCTAGCATAAAAAAACATCGACTGCCCCCTCACCCTGCCGCTACACAGCCGAGGCGGGCGGCGTAGCGTTAAAATTAGAATAGGGTTTTGGGGCCCATTATACTACAATCACAAAAAAGAACCCTAAACTAGTATAGGTAATTTAGGCCCCTATAGTTCTCCTAACCAACCCGATCGAGTTCCAGGTGGGGGTCCTGAAGAATCATACTGCACGTTCGCTAAACGCATTTTTGCAAGCCTGCTTGCCATCGATAAAACCGGATGCTCCCGTACTGCACCGCATCTTGTGGTACTGTCGTTGCATGTAGCTGATTGAATGAATCTGCGGTAATTATGCCCGGTAGCCAGTGGCTTCCTGAGCCAAGCGTCACCCTACTGTTCACTGTCCAACTGCTTACTGCTTGTAGACTCACTGCGACGCTTTTGACCTCGCGAGAGAAAGGTACTGCGCATGGACACGAACGGTTGGACCGTCAGCTGATACAGGCTGGCGCCGATGGCTCACAGATCAGAGCCATAGGACGGAGCTAAAGCTGTTAACGTCCGCATTACCCCCCCCTCTCGCCGAAAATACCTCTATTCGCATCAACGATCTCAGATCGGACCCAGGATACCGCAGCCGGAGGGAAAACAGGTGTTTTGCTTAACGTTCAAGAAGTATCGGGGGTTCAGCTTCAGCATCGCCATGTTCAACTACCACGAAGCACTCCACAACCCCACGTGTTTAAAGCGCCGCTTGGGTCTTAGGTCGCTCAAAACTTGTTTAAATTTATTCTTCGAATATTCCTCAACAATCCGCAAATCAACCACAACCATGACTAAGAAGCTTCTCGGCCAGCCCCAGTATCAAGATTCGGACCACGAGCATGCCGATGGAGACCACCACCCATGATCACGGCAAGCAGAAGCAGTCCCCATCGGCACAAGTCACCTTTATGGGTGGTTGTCAAAATTATGGTCCCTCTTTGGGTCCTTATAAAAATGCGGCACCTAATAATTTTGGGGTACACAAAAAGGGACCCTAATTTTGACAACTACCTTTATCGAAGATGAAGCAAGCTCGCACAGCAACGGCACCGGGAAGGCCCACATCCGAGACTCGACGCAACAGCAGCGATTCGAAATATGTGGGCGGTTGTCAAAATTACGGTCCCGTTTAGGGTCCCTAAATATTAGGTGCCGTATTATAATAAGGACCCAAAAAGGGACCCTAATTATGACCGCCACCCATATGCACGAGAGCACCATCCCACGGCGATCCTCCGAGCCAATTTGAGGAGTTCAGGGGCTAGGGAGTGGAGATCCCCCCTTCTTGGGATATAGGGTTGAGGGGTTCAGGGGTTTAGGGTTTAGGGTGCAGGGGTTTAGGGTTTAGGGTTTGGGGTTTAGGGTTAAGGGTTTAGGGTTGCAATGCTGCAGTGGCCGAAAGCCGTGATGTGCACCTCGGGTGCCGACTTTTCCAGCTTTGCAAAAGTCAAACAAGACAAGAAATATGGAATGTCTTCTTCAAGCGGTAGAGCACTTAGTTGTGACTTTTTCTCTTAGATGTAACTTTCTAGCGACATGCCTGGGTTGTAACTTTTTTGCTGCTCCAAAACCAGCAAATCTCTGCAGATGGTTGCGAAGCAGGCATGTCAGTTTTAACTTTATTGGTGTCTTTCACTCCAGGCTACCAACTTTTCTGGTTCATTAACTTTTCCTGGTGTAGATAGCACCGAGCCACAGTCTTTGTGCTGTATTTGGCACCAAACCAGAACCGTAACACAAGGCTCATTTAGGGTTTCCGTTTTGGGTAAAGCGTTCTCGCTGGATTCACTCTTTAAGCTTGTCGTCTTGGGTAAAAGGCTCCTGCTGGATTCACTCCTTAGGGTTTTCGTCTTGGGTAAAAGGCTCTTGCTGGATGCACTCCTTCGGGTTTCCGTCTTCGGGGAAAAGTTCCTGCTGGATTCGCTCCTGAAGGTTTTCGTCTTTTCCAACGGTTCCTGCTGGATTCACTCCTTGGCAAGGCTTCCTGCTGGCTTCACTCCTTGGAGCTTTTGTCTTCGGTAGTTCACGCCTTAGGGTTTTCGTCTTGAGTAAAGGGTTCTCGCTGGGTTCACTCCTTGGCGTTTGCGTCTTGGGTAAAAGGTTCCTGCTGGATTCACTCGTCAGGGTTTCGTGATTTTCCAAAAGGTTCCTCCTGGATTCACTCCTTAGGGTTTCCGTCTTGTGGGTAGAATGGTGTAGGTGGGTAGGCGGGGTAGGTGGGGGAGGTAACTAAGGTTTTGAGTAGGGTGAACATAGCTGAAATTATATGTAGCTCCAACAAAGGTACTTACAATCCGACTTGCGAAGTCCATCCTTGTCCTGCGGCTCGGACTCCATTGGCCTGGGGAAGCCCTTGTTGCCAAACCAAAGCAAGTGGCTCATGAGCGGTTTTGTGTCCACCTTCCAATTGATTTATGTCGCCGTCCACCAGGCAGCGCCAAAAAGTCCACTTTGAAGGTTGCAAGCTGAGATACAAGGAGTCAGAGTCACTGAATGTGGTTGTCCTATCATAAACTGCTTGAAACCCTTTATAAACCTCTCTTGAAGTGGGGCTGGAGGTGCTCTACTTAGAGGGTCGGGGGACTTAGTAATTGGGTAGTAAGTAGACTCATAAGTACCCTAAAAGGGACCCTAATTGGGGTTATGGTACTTATAAGTCCTTAAAATAACCAGCTACTAAGTCCCCCGACCCTCCAAGTACAAAACGGAACAGTACGTTCTGCTGGGAGGGCGGGACCGGGGCGGACATCGAGGAACCCTAAACACCAAACCCTAAACCCGGATCTGAGCCTTGGCTTCTGGGTTTAGGCTTTAGGGCTTATAAAGGGGTTTAGGGTTTAGGAGCTAGGCTTATAAATTAGAGTTTAGGGACTTATCGGAACAGGGTTTTGAGGTGTATTTTCCCCAGAAAAAGACCGTACCATCCTAAATGAAGGACACAGGCCAGGTTGCTGTACAAGGATAAGACTTGAGGGGTTTAGGGGTTTCGGGTTTAGGGTTGAGGGCGTAGGGGTGAAAGTTTGAGGTTTGCGGTTTTGTCTCCAAGTTTGGGCTCCAAGGAACTAACCCCAAACCCACAACCCCAAATCCTTAAACCCCTCTGTAGCCCTCAAACCATAAACCCTTTAATCCCTCTAAATCGCTGAGCCCTGTACCCCCTCAAGCCCTAAACTCTTTAACCCCTAATAGTCCTAAACCCTAAGCCGGTTGGAAACAAAATCAAAGAGGAAAAGGAGGGACCCTTAATGGGGACCCCTACCCTATAATGGGCTATATAATGGGTATATAATAGCTATATTAAGGGTATTTACCTAGGGGTCCTTACTAAGGGTCCTCCTTTTACCCTTGGACAAAAGGCTTGGCCGCCGAACGCCTATTTGCATCAGCATCGGCTTTGCGATCCCTCAGGGGGAAATTTGTTCGCGGTCTTAGGGCCAATAGGGTGTGAAGGGTTTGTAGGGCTGATAGGGTTTAGGGTTTAAGGTAGAGAGTTTAGGGCGTTGGGTTTATAGGGCTGCGGGTTCATAGGGCGAAGGGTTTATGAGGCTTATCGGGTTTAGGGAAGAGGGTTTAAGGTTGAGGGCTCCAGAAGCGGAAGGTAATGTAGAGCCCTCCCTTTGTGAGAGGTCTCGTAGGGCCTAATATGGGAGGGGACCCTAATATAGTACCCGACCCCCAAAATAAGGTACCCTGTATTTTCGGAAACTCTAAACCCCAAACCCTTTATAGAACCCTTATGGATCCCTTAAAGGAACCATTACAAATCCCTTTAAAGGCACCCCTAGTTTTCGGAAACTCCCATTATCAATGCCCTTATAGACATGAGGATCCAAGGTTGACGCTTTAAGTTTTCGGGCGAGTTGGGTTCAGCGAACCCTAAACCCTTTAGGGTTTAGGGTTTGGGGTTTAGGGTTTAGGGTTTAGGGTTGAGGGTTTAGGGTTTAGGAGATCCAGGAAATTTACTGGTTCTAGGCTTGTGTATGGTTCAAGATTAAAGGCTTCAGGGCTTAGGATAGACATAAAACTGCAAGTGTATCTCAGACATACCGGTGCATAGGCAGGGAGGGGGCTGTTGAGACGGTACCACCCAAACCGACAGCCCTTCCCCTCATGTGCCCACCGAGCTTGGGGCTTTGCAATTCGACGCCAGATGGTCTTCAAGGCCTCCAAACCCCCAGGGAGTAGGGCATGGGGGTTTCGGGTTTGGGATTTGGGGTTTAGGACTGGAGGATCCCAAGAACAGCAAGAAGGAGGAGACGCCATGGTAACAGAGCGAAGAGGGGCGAAGAGTTGCAAAAGCAACCAACAACACTCCACACTTGGGGCTCCTCGCGTGGATCTTATGACAAACCCTTCCGTTGGAAGACCCTTGTTATAGGGTTTAGGGTTTAGGGTTTAGGGGTTTAGGGTTTAGGGTTTACCTTAAACCCTAAACCCTAAACCGTTTGGGACTATGCCGTATTTCAGGAGCAATATCGGGGCCTGGATGATTAGATTAGAGTGTGGGGGGGGGGGTGTCTGTTACTGCCCTTCAACTAAATTCTCTAGCCCGACAAGAACGTGATACGAGTCATCCAGGTCCCTGTATTTCCGGTACCTGGGTTTAGGGTTTAGGGTTTAGGGTTTAGGGCTTATTTCAACCGTGCGGTATTTTGGGGGCTTTTGTGCGGCTTTTCTACCAAACATACATGACAGAACCCTGAGGAATAACGTGACTCTTAAGTCTTCAACCCCGAACTCTAAATATTATACCCTAAACCCTTAACCCCAAAACCTTAAACTCTACCATTTAGGTGTATGGAACCGGAAAATTCCCTCTACTTGGAGGACCATTTCCATTGTAAGGCTTAGGGTTTAGGGTTTGGGGTATCAGGTTTTGGGGTTTAGGATTGAGGCTTTGCAGCTGAATTTTTGGTGTTTGGGAATTAGAGTTTAGGGATAGGGATTTGGGCGGGTTTGGGGTTTAGGCAAGGTGTAAAGGTCCAAGAGGCATGAGAGTAGGGCTTCTGGGTTTGGGACACGCCCGAGACCAAAACCACTCAAACCAAATGTCGGAGACATAATTCATCCTCTTCAGGTATTGTAGACAGGGATCTTTACACCCCTCGATCGATAGCGTCTGGATCCTACACCCTCAACCCTACCCTACCCAGACGGAAAGCTCCAAAGCCTTGCCTCTAGCTTGCAATAGCGGTAGTCGCCCCGAAACCGGAACGGTCGAAACTTTTGACCTGGGGCTCATTCTACATGACGGCTCCGCGTGAGGCCCAAAACATACCTTCTCTGAGAAGAACATGTCTGTACTACGAAGCCCCCTAACAGGACGGGAGCTCCCAGTAGGTGGGTTCAACTTTGGTTTAGTGCATAGGGTTTAGGAATGAGGGTTCAGGGTCTGGGTGTACGCAGTTTGTGGACCAACCCCTATATTGCTGGAACTCCTCACTGTCACACACAAAGAGACGAGACTGCAGAGTTGTCTTGTGACTGCGAAAAAGGATAGCCTTGCTACGCTCCAAGCTCCTTGCCCAAACGAACAAAAGGCGCCGTCGCCGGGCTTTAAGTTCTTACTTGGAGGTTCATGGGACTTACAAAGTATGGTTATAAGTGCGTACCCTAATTGGGGCTATACGTAATTATAAGTATAGTTACCTTATTTATAACCCCAGGTACTAAGTCCCATGATCCTTCAAGTACCGACCGACGGAGCACCATGACGACGTGTTTAGTGAAGCTCACTGTACTGCCCGAGCAGACTATGTCGTTCGGCATCGCCCCTGCTTAGGGTTAGTGCCGATCACCGCTACTATGACTATAACCTACAACGATATCGGCGGCCACGCCACAGCAAGCTTGCTGCTCCGAAAAAACACCGCATGATCTTAACATGATAGCGGCTTTAATCATTAGAGCAGCATTCTCGGTGTACTATAGAATAGTGATAGTAGGACACACATGGGGACAATGTTACTAATTACTTCGACGCCCATACTCGAGAGCCTCAGGGTTTTAGGGTGCTGCTGTCTTCAGTTTCGACTTCTGGGTCAAAGGCCCAAAACCTTTAAACTGTAAGTCCTAAACCGTAGTAAACTCTGAACCCTAATCCCTCCTTCCACTGAACCCCCTAAACCCTAAACCCCTACTAAACCCTAAACCCCAAGCCCTAAACCCTAAGCCCTGAACCCTAAAAACCCGAAACCCTGAACCCTAAATTCCGAACCGTAAACCCGAGGACAGTATTGCCAAGTCGAGCGGCTCAGCCTTTACATGCGTGGCTTCCGGAAGACCACCCTATTAAGGGACGTTTCCGAAGACAGGGTTACCTTATTTGGGGGTCGTTATAATGAGGATCCTACTATTTAGGGTACTATACTAGGACTCCCATATTACGGGACGTTTATGACTAGGATAGCATTTTGAAGCACCACAAGCCAAGTTGAGACCCTAGGCATTCCTGGAGTTCTTCTACTACAGTAAACTCTGAAGCCCTGAACTCTAAACCCTTAAACTCTGAAGTGCCAAACTTGCCAGCCAGCCCTCTGTCAAAAGCCTACTAAGCAGCTGGCAATCTAGCGAGCTCTCGTCGAAGACCTGCGACGGTTGAGGGTTCAGGGTTGCGGGTTTAGGATGGATGGGTTAGGGTTTAGGGCTGCGGGCTTAGGGTTTCGGGTTTAGGGTTCGGGCTCTGGAGTTGAGGGTTTAGGATTCAAGGGCTACTGGTTGAGAGTTGAGTTTATAGTTCAATTCTGTGTTTATTGTTTAGGGTCCTTAGAGGATCGCGGGAGTCAAGTTATAAGTACCAGAACTGGGGCTGGAAGCAATCATAACTGCAGCTACCTCTTTGAAACCCTAGTTACTCCGTCCCAGGAGGATCCTCCAAGTACTCGAACAATCACTGTACCCCGTCTTCGATCCAGCCAGTAACTTTAGAGATCCAATGTCCAACTGGGAGTTTGTGAAAACAGGGGACCCTAATACAGTACCCTAAATAGTAGGATCCTTGTTCTAAGGACCCCAAAAGAAGGTACTGCTAATTTTCGGAAATTCTAAACCCTTTATAGAACCCTTATAGATCCCTTACAGGTACCCCTAATTTTCGGAAACTCCCAACTCTTCCCCTAAACCCGAAACAAGTCATCAACCCCAGACTCCGAGTCCATGCGCCATCTGCAGCGATACCCAAGCACTCGCTGTGTGATGGGAGGCCAAAAGGGGGGGTGTAAGATTCTTCTATACTGAACTTAGAACCGTAGCAAAAAATACAATTTTAGCTGTTTCTTAGGGATTATTTTTCCCAAAAATTAAAAATGAATTCTAAGTACCCCTCAGTCTTGGGGGAGGCAGTCCTTGATATGAACCCTATTATGGGAACCCTAATCCCCACTAAACCCCCATTGGCTAAAACCCCTTTTGGCCTCCTATGACTGTGTCGAACAGCTTTGCATCACCGAAGCTGGTTGCAGCTACCCGGACCCCCGGGAGGATCTAGAAAGTAGATCCCCTAATTTGGGGCCCTATACTACTAAGGGTACTTAGGTTCTTAGGCAGGGGGGTTCAGGGCATATTATTGTAGAGCACAGGCTATCACTTTCTGTGCACAGATACATACAGATAGATAGATAGAGAGAGAGAGAGAGAAACAGAAAGCGAGAAAGAGAGAGAGAGAGAGAGAGAGAAAGAGAGAGAGAAAGAGAGAGAGAAAGAGAGAGAGAAAGACAGAGAGAGAGAGAGAGAGAGAGAGACAACAAAGCGGGTACTACCACTGATCACTCAGATGCCTCATACACCCCTGGCTGTTTCCGGCTTTGCTGTAGGGTTCTTGTTGCCTTCCGAGTGCTGTGCTTGGCTCTTCGGTTAAAGAATATGGGAGTTTCCGAAAACAGTGGACCCTAATCTAGTACCCTAAATAGTAGGATCCTTATTCTAAGGACCCCAAAATACGGTAACCCCCAATTTTCGGAAACTCCCATATAGTTTAGGGTCTGGGACTCACAGGTGAACAGCTCAGGAAGAGTAAGGAACACAGACAGGCGCGGGTCGGAGGAAGTTGTCTGTCGTCATTGAATAGGCTTTTAAGCTAGATAACCCCAACTAGTGTTTTTGGTAGGGTGCTTCTATCTCTCCATCTTGAACCATAAACCCTAAACCTAAATCCTACTTTCCGATTCAACCTAATTCCTAGGCCTCCTGGGCCGTGAGGGACCAAAGACATCCCCAAAAACAATGAGATAGGCATTTCGGGTTTTTTTTGTTTGGGGTTTAGCTCTGTTTAGGGTTTGGGGTTTAGGGGTGTGCAGGGTTGAGGGCTTAAGACTCAGTCTAATTACCGAGGATCCCTGAAGAATTATATCTGGAATATCATGTTCAGTGATGAGCGTCTCTGACCTCCTCTTTACAAACGTTTACACACCCTATTTAAAGGGTGTTGTGTTCAGGGTTTCGGGTGTAATGTAGGTGTCTGAATACGGACTGACACAGTTCCCATGTACATTCCGGCATAGCTGCATTATGACGTGCCTCGCAACCCTATTCTAATCGTCAAGCCCTCCCAAAAAACGCAAAACCTTCAACCCCAAACCCGCAAACCTACTAAATCTCAAGGCCTATTACTAAACCCTTAACCCTTTAACCCTAAACCGTCAAAACCCGAAGCCGACTGCTGAGCCTTGAAGGAGTAACCCCAATGATTGGCGTATCTCTCCTGGCAAGAGCAACAAGAAAAGGCTGTAGAAGAAAGGTGTTTGGGGTGTCGGACATGCGAAAAAGCCTAGTCCCTTTTGGGAAGACCAATAATTGTGCTCCTCTTCATACAGCCACCCATAAAGAGCTCAGATCCTACGCAAACTCGAAGATTTGCTATCACAAAACACATGAGGCCAATGACCATAAGTGAGTCTGGGGCTTGGGTTTAAGGTTTTGGGCCTCAGGGTGTTGGGTTGAGGGTCGTGCGACTTAGCAAGTAGTTAGTCTACAGTGTTGTAAGTACCATAACCCCATTCAGGATCCCACTTGGGGCACTTCTAACTCTGCTTCCCTCTGAAACCCTAAACCCTAAACCCTAAACCCTAAACCCTAAACCCTAAACCCTGCCTACTTACTCAGTTCTCCGACCCTCCCACTGTTGGGTCGAGGGTTGGGAGCTAAGGCTCACGAGTTCTGAGGTCGAGGGTTTTTTGGATTTCAGAACTACTATGGATGTTTAGGGTTTAGGGTTTAGGGTTTAGGGTTTAGGGTTTAGGGTTTAGGGTTTAGGGTTTAGGGTTTAGGGTTTAGGGTTTAGGCAGTAGACTACGGGATTTGGTGTTCAGGGTTTGGATTTGGATTTGGTGTTAGTCTTGTTCGGAAGGTTTGGGGCTCAGGGTTTAGGGGTTTAGGCTTTAGGGCTTAGGATTCAGGGTTTAGGGTTCAGGGCTTAGGGCTTAGGATCCAGAATTTAGGGTCTTTAGAGTCAGGTGTTTGGGTTTTTTAGGCTCAGGCCCTCCTGGCCTCAGCCTAGTCGCCTAAGCCCGAAACCCTCAAAGGGCTGACGCCCTGAACCCTAAACCCTAAACCCTTAACCTCAAGCCTAAACCTAGACCCTAAACCCTAAACTTAAACCTAAACCTTGACCCTAAACCCTAAACCTAAACCCTAAACCCTAAAGCGTGGACCCCAACCTAGATCCAAAGTCGACTCTTCAAATTTCGATCGAAAGGGATGTCGTCTCAGGTTTTGTTATATTCTTTTGTTTAGGGCTTAGGGTTCCGGGTTTAGGGTTGACGGTTGGCCCCACACCCCACTCCCCCAACCCAACCAAACTCTGAAACCCAAACCTCCAGCCCACAGCGCCAAACCTGAAAGCCCCACCCCGAAACCCTGCTAGTCAGCCAACGCTCAGCAGACTATACCGGGCTCGACACGTGTGTGCCCTTGGAACCAAAACAAAAAGTAGTTCGAACATGTTTTAATTATCCTTTGCAGCTTTACTTTAACGAAAATGAACCCTACGAACAGACATGATGAGTCTGACAATACCTTGGGGTTTTCCTCTTACACCATTCCTAAGAACACTAGAGGACATGGGTGTAGACGAGGCTTGCCTCATTTTTCGCTAGAGTCAGCTAGAACCTAGACCCAGTGACTCTCAGATCCCGCAAGTAAGGGTAGGGTTAAGGTTCAAATTGGCCTTGTGTAAATCCCAAATCTTGGTGTTCCCGTGAACCTCAAAAGCCAGTCTGCGAAAGCCGAAACTCACAAACCCCAACTTTTGCGGTTGAGGGTTTGTGTGGAGATTTGGATTTGATGTGTCGCCCAAACCTACCGATCTAAGCAAACCACTTCAAAAACCTACATGGACCCTATAAACCCTAAAAATCCCTGAAAACCATGTTCGCCCTAAAACTGCACAAAACAAGTTCATGACCCTAACCCTATTCTCTTGCGACCGCGCCCCAAGCACGACAACCCGGATCTAGGGTTTACATGTACCTTTTGGTGTGGAAGTTTAAAGGCTTGAAGCAGTGTCCCTCCACCACGGCACTGGAAACAAAGATGCAGGAGAGGGTTCACTATCCGACCACTCTCAACACTCCGTCCGTGCTCCCGAGAGTGCAACAAACCAAGCCTTGATACAGCTTGTTAGCTTGGAGGATCAGGGGACATAGTAACTAAGGAGGTCATAAGTACCCTAACTGGGGTTACAAGTATTTGCTACTATAGTTGCCGTATTTATAAGCCTAGTTACTATGTAAGTAAGGAGGTCATAAGTACTTGCGTAAACCCTAAACCCCAAAACCCCAGACCCTAACCCCTAATCCCTGGTGTTGATGACCGACCCAAGGATCACAGGGCAGAGGCATCGTCTATCGGCGAACGAATGATGGCTTTTCGAATCTCTATTATCAGTATACCGATAAGTATTAAAAATAAAAAAGTTATAGTGGCTACCCCAATTAAGTATCTTATACAAGTGTCTATAGTTGTACTAGTTGCCCAAAATTACAACCCTACAAAGTAACTATCTCAGAAACCGAAGCCCAAACGCCCCGACCTCCCTGACCCTAAAACCCTCGAAGCACTCAGAGCCTGAGAAGCCAAAAGCGCCAGGTACGAAGGTCCCCTAAGAAATCCCTAAAGAAACCCTTAAGGGCTTAGGGTTGAGGGTTTAGGATTTAGGGTTTAGGGTTTAGGGTTTAAGGTTAAGGGTTTAGGATTTAGGGTTTAAGGTTTAGGGCTACAGGGTTTAGGATTTAGGGTTTAGGGTGAAGGATTTAGGGTTTAGGGTCGTAACGCCCGCAAACCACACAAGCCATTACACCCCCTTAGATCCTGAGGCCTAAACCATGGAAGCCCACGACCCTAAAAACCCCAAACTCCACCTTGGCGCTCAAGGATTCTCGGAAGCGCTCCGAGTACATGTCCTAAAAGGAGATGACCGAAGAAAGTGGGCTCTGATGGATTTGTTGTTGATCTTCAAGAGTACCCTTCTTTGGCTTGCAGGGCTGTTTGTCGTGTTGTTTCCAACGGCCTTGTGAAAGATGCGTACAGTGTTGATTCGGCACATAGGGATTTTAGGAGGTTCCGTACAAGTTTATCTCTGCTGGGGCTTCGCATGGTCTCCGGCCATGTTCATATCTGATGTACACAGCAACAGGAAAACCCATGACCCTCCGGAATCCTCACTCAAAAAATCAGGAAACGAAGTAAGCTGGTTCTAAGCAAAACTGTAAGCACCCTAAATGTGACCACTAAACCAACACAGCCCTGCTGTCTTGTAACCTACTTACCAAGTTCCCTGAATCTTTAAGTACCCTAAACCCTGAACCCTACACCCTTCTGGCTTTTCGAAGTCCGCTAGCCGTCCCTGACAGCTAGGGCTCCGCGCAGTGGTGAAAGTCACCATATGGATCCTCCCAACAACCGGTGATCCCCCAAGAGCCGTTACGGGCTTCTTTAAGGGTTGCTTGAGTATTTCCTTTAAGGGTTGTTTGAAGTGTTCCGTTCGGAGGGCTCCGTGAAAGGACCGCATATTTTAGGGTTTTAAGAAAACGTAAAGGCTATCCTAAAAGCCAAACCCTAAACCTTAAAGCAACCCTAAACCACATGCCTTCTAGGTTGAGGGACTAGCCTCTTGGAAGAAATGGGAGTTTCCGAAAAAAGGGGAACCTAATATAGTGCCCTAAATAGTAGGATCCTTATGATAAGGACCCCAAATAAGGTACCCCTATTGTCGGAAACTCCGTAAATTGGTGGTGAGGTTCCAGACCTGCGGGAGCGTCTAGAGAGTAGATCCCGTAAGTTGGAGGACCCCAGGTACCGTCTACCCTAGACCAAGTAAAGTTACAAGGGTTCTATACTGAAAGGGTTCCATCAAGGGTCCTTTTCAAAGGGCTCTATATGGGTTTAGGGTTTAAGGTCGACTTAGAGGATCAGGAGACTTAGTAAGTAAGGTTATAAGTACCCTAATTGGGGTTATAAGTAGTTATAACTACCTGACTTATAACCCTAGTTACTAAGTCCCATGATCCTCCAAGTAGACCCTGAAACCTGAAACAGACCTTACCTTTCTCGTCCCCCTGCAAGGTCTGGGGATAGGGGTCGACTCGACGTCTTGGGCGCAGGCGACACCGCAGAAGTTGTAGAGGTCTGGGGCCCTAAACCCTAAACCCTAAACCCTAAACCCAAAACCCAAAACAGTCTGCGTCTTCTGTCTTCAGGCTTGTGAGCCTACCAGGACTGTCGCCGGCCCGATGCGCGAGAAGTCCTGGCACAGCGGCACCGCCACGAAGATGACTGTGCACTCCTGTCGTGGGTCCGCCTTCTCGATCGCCGCGCCCACGGAGCGGGGGACTCTGCCAGCACGTCCTCGTCTCCGGGGCCACGAATGACTGCGTTCGTAATCTTCAGCTCCCCCCGAGTCGTCGTCTGACATTGGAGGCTTAAGGGATATTGGAGTCTCTGGTCTTGGTGGCGGACCAACGCCTGCAGCTCAGCGATCGGCTGCGGGTTCTGAGACCCTCCAGCTTCGAGAGCTGGGTCGAGAGGAAAGCCATCACCGACTCGAAAGGTGCACGTTTTGGGTCTTGGGGCTTAATGTTTAGGGTATGGTCTAACACATGGGCCTTAAATGTTCCAGTATAGGTTGATAAGGAGCCCTGAGTAATGACATTGGTAGCTATCCCGACGCCCATATACTTAGAAAACCCAAAACCTTCTTGAAGGACTGCACCTTCAACCTTGCTCGGACCCCGAACCAAGAAACCCGAAATCGTAAACCTCTGCGCTATGATAGGAAGTCCGTCTGTAGGGCAATGGGCCGGAAAAATTAGAATAGGGCTTTAGGACATACCATAAGAGAAGTAGACTACGAACCCCACGGAAGAGTATTGCTCGTTGCTGAGAAGCTTACAGACACTACATATAACACCTTGCAAAACCCGTTAAAACAAATCTAAACACAATAAAGCCTTGTAAAAACCATAAAATCCCATCTAAAGCCCTTATAAGCCCCTCTACGCTTTCGAGACAAGGGAGCTGCCCGAGAAGTGACTGAAGAGACAGGCATCTAGTATAATACAACCTAATATAATGAAATGTCATATCATACATATAATACAATATACTAGATTCTGATATGTTAAAACTATACTATACTCTTATGTATTGTTACATACTAAAACAGACGATAGTATGAGATAATGAACTACAAGATACCACAATTTACTATAACATACTACCGAATAATGGAATATGATAGAATATCATAGAATCTCATGTGATATGATATAACTATAACGAAAAGGCAAGCCAAGCTTTGCAGTTAAACTTGCAGGCTTGGTCAGCCTAAGATAACCACTGAGCTCAGGGCTTCAGAGGTTCGGTTTACTGTTTAGGTGTTAGGTTTAGGATTGCGGTTTTAGGGTGTAGGGTTTACTGTTTGCATTTTAGGGCTTAGGGTTTATGGTTTAGAGTGGACGGCTTAGGGTTTACTGTTTAGGTGTTAGGATTTAGGGCTTGGCTCGGCCGTTAGGGTAAGCTATTGAGCTGGCTCAGCTTGGATCAGTAGACCAAACATGGTCCGAACGCAGGGGAATCCTTCGAAATGCCGAACGGCACAAACCCCCGACCCTAAACCTCGAAAACAAACGACACCCTGAAAACTTATCCGGCCCACTCCCCCAGAACCCTAAACCCTACACCCAACCCCTAAACCACTAAACCCCTAAACCCCCTAAACCCCTAAACCCCTCAACCCAAAACCCAAACAGTAACTCTTCCCCAAGCTCGTTGCCAGCCTCGTAGCTGCCTGGGGGGGATCCTCCGGTCCGGGCCCCAGATGCGAACGAAGCGGTGAGAGTCCCAGGATCCATGGGTTTAGGGTTTGGGGTTTAGGGTTTAGGGTTTGCCGTAGAGTGGCGCAGAAGCGGAAGTAGCTTGCGACAGTGTATTGTCGAGTGCGTCGTAATATGACGATTGGCTGTTGGAGCCTGATGGTGGATGGCTCTTTCTTTTAACTCTCCCACCCCACGCCGTCTAAGGCGGCCAAACCACCCTAACTTATTCCTTTTAGGGTTTTGCACCTAAACTCAAATTGCAATTTTGTCCAGGTCTCCCCCCAGGACCGGCCTGGAGGCCCCCAGGTCCTCGAACTCTGCTCGCTGCAGGCCCCAGGCCCCCTTTGGGGGGTCCCTTTTTGAAGGGGGGCCCAAATGGGCTTGGGGTTTGGGGTATTTACTTTAATGGGGACCAGTACTGGTCCCGAGGAGAACCTGCTCCGGTACCGGGCCCATCGTGGGTGCTACCGTCCCCATGGCTGTGGAAAGGCGGGCAAGCGTATTGGGTCGCTCTGCGCCATCGAGGTCGAGGGGCTTAAGCGCCGCCCACCCACGGAGGTGGGCGGCCTAGGCCTTGAGTTTGGGGTTTAGGGTTTAGGGTTCAGGGTTTAAGGTTTAGGGTTTAGGGTTTAGGGTTAGGTTTTGGGATTAGGGTGTCGGGTTTGCAGTTTTGGGCTGTAGCAAGCTACGGTGGACTAGAGCTTTGCTTATCATAGCTTTCTACAATCAGGCACCCTAAGAAATACTCGAGTTCTAAGTATTTAGGCCCCTAGAATGATGCAATTTCTGGCTTTACAAGGCTTTTCCAAGAGAATTGCAAGGGTTTCAGAAAATTTAATGTAGCGGCCTTAACTACTACAACACATGTTTGGGAGTGTTTCAATGGACTTGTCGAGGGACAGTACGAGGATCCTCCTTTGCAGTCGGGCTGAAATAGCTAAGATCATACGCTAGCGTGACACAAAAATGGAAAGGGAGAGAGAGAGTGGGAGACAGAGAGAGAGAGCGAGAGAGAGACAGAGAGAGAGAGAGAGAGAGCGAGAGAGGGACAGCTCAGAGAGGGAGAGAGAGACAGAGAGAGAGAGAGAGAGAGAGAGAGTGAGAGTGAGAGCGAGAGAAAAGGAGAGATAGATAGATAGTTGAACCGCGGATGGTGGGGCCCGATTGGTCCTGCCTCTGCACCCGCTTGGGCTTTATAAAGCTCCGAAAACCTCAAACCCCAAACCCTAACGCCCCTGTTGGACCTATGAGAAATCCTAAGGTTTAGGATTTAGGGTTTAGGGACCAATGAGAAATCCTAAGCCCCACAAATCCCCGTATCACAACAGAAAGGAAACCCCGTTGGTCCCCACAAGTTCCTGTCAAATATTGCAGATGGCTCCAAGATTCCTGCTTTCGGTTGTGGGAGTTGGATTAGGGGGACCCTTGCGGATATAGACCCTCTCAATAAGGCCCCTTTTAAGAGAGCCGAAGTAGGGTTCAAGAAGGGGACTACCTAGCTTGTGTCTGAGTAATGTAGGAACCTGATTAAGAAACCCTGGGCCTACAAGCCACAAAATAGAAGGATTCATATAAGGAAGCCTAATAAAGGCCCAAGGTTTCTTGCTCAGGTTCCTGCATTATTGTAGTACCCTTATAGATCCCTTATAGTAAGCCTTTTAGGCCCCCTTTAAAGCAGCCCTAAGAAAGGCCCAAAGGTGTCTTAATCGGGTTCCTACCTGCATTAGACCCCAAACCCCTGAACGCTAAGTCCCTAAGTCCCTGAACCAAAAAGTCCCTAAGTCCCTGAACCAAAAAGTCCCTAAGTCCCTGAACCAAAAAGTCCCTAAACCATAAAGCCAAAAACCGCAGAACCCCAACTCCCTACAACCCGAACCATGCCTAACGCCTGCATTAAGTCCTTAAGCCCGGCTAAAGCCCTCCTAAACCCTAAAACCTTTAGGGTTTAGGATTTAGGTTTAAGTCCCTGAACCCTAAACCCAGCTTCACCCCGTGCCAAGCACCTCCGCCAAAGCAGCGCCGAGTAGAAGGCATGCGAAAGCGCGCGAAGCCATCCCAAAGATGCGTGCTTCTTGGTTCAAGTTTAAGAGTTTAGGGTTCGGGTCTCTTGGGATGTAGGGTTTATGCTTAGGGCTGTCGGGCTTATGTTTATGGCTTTAAGGATTTAGGGTTCGGGCGTTTAGGGTTTAAGGTTTGGGGTTTCAGGTCTATGGGGCATGTATGATGTTACAACTCTAGATAGTGCTAAAAGCCACTACTACTCATAACTGCAAGAGACCCCAACATCTCCGAAGAAGAACACAGAAGAGTTCCTGAGAAAAAAACTCTTGTAGGGGCCCCAATAGTTGGAATAGGGTTTCGGGGCCCAAATACTATAATTATAGTAAGGAACCTCCAGAATAGTATAGGCGAACTTTTCAGGCTCATATACCATGCTGGGAGGTCGGCGCAGTGCACCATGAAACTGTCAACCCTGCTGAACCTGAAATCGGCTTCGCCGGGCTCTTCCACTGCATGGCGTTTAGGGTTTAGGGCTTCAGCTTGGTGAGACCTATGACGGAAATCCGAGAGTGCCTCCAAAACACCGAGAAACCATGTAAAGCTCTTCCTAAAGCCCAGACAAAGCCTCGCAACAGCCCGATGAAATGAGACGCGGTCACCCTCCGTATCCAAATCTTTTGATCTTGGACCCATTGAGACATTACCTTGAAACCATCAACGGTATAGGATGGAAATACTCTGTTTCGGCTCGTCAATCGCAGTCATACCTGCATCATAACCAGACGCCTACATAATCTAATGCACAAATTAATTAAGGATATTGGGCTCTCTGGGCATCCTGCAACATAGTCCGGAATCCTACACCTTCCCAGAAACTCCACAACCACATGGTTAAGCAATATACCTTGAGCCACAGAGGGTTCCGTATTGTGATTGAAGGTAAATTCCTCCTCCGTGAGCATAAGCCTTACAGATTCCCCTCCCCCCCCCCCCTCCGATTTCACGCGACTGCTCGGGCCGTAGCGTTGGCCACCGTCAACACAGCGGTTGTGGTTGAAGCGGGGCAGCCGGACCAGGACAAGCAGAGCCCCCCCGCAGGCTCAGGAAGGGTTTAGGGCTTAGGGTTTGGAGTTTGGAGAATAGACTTCGACGTTTAGCGTCTCCGGTTCAGGCTTTAGGGTTTGGAGGTTAGGGTTTCGGGTTTAGGGTTTAAGGGTTGAAACGATCCTTAATTCAGGGTTCAGAGTTGGGTGCAGGGCTGCAGGTCTAAGAGTGCAGGGCTTCAGGGTATAGAACTCTAAACCCTAAACCCTAAACCCTAAACCCTAAACCCTAAACCCTAAACCCTAAACCCCCCTAAACCCTATATAGGTTTGGTTTACCGTCGAAGGTTTAAGGTTCAGGGTCTAAGGCATAGGGTCTGGTGGGGCTCAGGCTTCAGGGCACGGGGCTTCGGATTTGGGGTTTTTTTTATGGTAATAGCAATAAGACTTGCAATAGTCATAGTAGTAATAGTAATCATAGTAAGTGTAATGGAAGTAATAGTAATAGCAGTAAGAGTAATACTAGTAATAGTAATAATAGTAACAATAATAGTAACAATAATAGTAATAGTAATAGTTAGGGTTTAGGGGCTCCGACGGGTCTCGGGTTGCGAATTGAGGGTTCCTGCGAGAGGTCCCGCCGTCCTTTGCTTGCATGCGTGGGGGAGATTCCTTTACAGTCGGCGCCTGGGTTCGTAGTGGGGCCGTCCACACAGTCATCTCCTCTTTAGCTCTAAGCTGCTGCGACAGCATAAAACCCTAAACCCTAAACCGAAACGTCTACAACACGGTTTAGAGTTTAGGGTTTAGGGCTTGGGGCCTTCACAGAACCGAAATGTCTATTACAACGACGACGAACACCGACTGCAACAACCACCACCACCACCACAACCACAAGGTCAGCCAAAACCACAACCAAAGGTACAAGCACAACAACAGCAACGGCCAGCTGTGCCGATCTTGTTATCGTGGTTCTTCTGCATTCTTGTCACTAGTGTTGCTAACAGTGTTGCCGTGGCTGCTGTTGATTTTGTTGTTGCTGCTGTGTTCATTGCGGTTGTTACTCCCGACATGCTGGGGCTTTCGGCGTAAGGGCGGCACACATTCCAAATCTCAAACACAAACAAAAGTCAGGTGTGTGGAAGGTCCACGCACGGCCAGGTTGAACAAAGTCGCAGCTGATCTCGATCTATGCACAAGTGGGCCTTGGGTTCAAGATTCGATTGGATTTAGGGTGCTGAGAAGTAGCAGCACGGAGCTAGTAGACTTCTGGAATACAAGACAACGTTCCCAAAGGTCCGTGGCACCAGATCAGCCAGCAGCAAAATGATGAAGACTGACATAAGTGACGAAAACCGAATCATCTCCCAAGGCACCTTTCATTACCGCCTCTACAAGCGTGGGATTTAGGGTACCTCTACAAGTAGTGGACAGGCCTCTAAATGGAACTGGTGCTTTGCACTAAGGTTACAGGGTTACGAAATCATGAAACAAGGTCATGATTTTCGAGACCAAGGCTTTGGCTCGAAGCCTGCTGCAGAATTCTCTGATTGTGCCCGCCCCAAACCCTAAACCCCTAAACCCCTAAACCCTAAACCCTTAAACCCTAAACCCTAAACAAAGTTTTTTGGGCTTCGCATTCATGTCGATGAAGGTTTCAGGGGTGTAGGACGAAGGGCTTTCATGCGGGTAGCTTGCACAGTTTAGGGTTTAAGGGTTGAGGGTTTAAGGTTTTATTGTTTAGGGTTTAGAGTTTAGGGTTTACGGTTTAGGGCTTAGGGTTGAGGAGGAGCCTTAATAATTAGAATAGGGTTTCGGGAGCTCCTTATTATATTTGTAGTGTATTCTACCCCCAAACTCTGCTATTAAGGCCCCTACATTAGGCTAAACCCTGCCCGCCGCAACCCTGAACAGCACCTGGATGATCAGGAGACTACTGA